TGTTATGATCAATTGACACCTGTCAAAACAAGGTATCTGCTGACCAGTATCACATGACCATATCGCGGGCCCAAGTTTACAGCTCCTTGAGGTCACATGTTTTTTTTTGAAGTTGACTGCTAACCAAGTGCTGGTTATCGATTGGATCGCGGGCTCAAACTAGGTTAACTTGTTGGAAACAGGGCAGGATTGTGCGGAAGCCAGTTAACGCTAACCCAGGATTAAAAGTTACCCGAATTATAACTTTTTCTTCTATACAAATGCTTTTTGCTGTTTTGTTTTGTGTATAAAATTATGGTGATTATTAAAACTCAAAACAGAAGGCCAAAGAGTATACAGAAAACCTCACCGCAAAGTTACAAAACTCAAATCAAAATTCTACCTTTTTCTGGGTTAGCTTAATCAGGCTTTGAACAACCCGGCCCAGGAGCTACGCTTTTAGGCTGGCCTAAATCTGTATATTATAATTACATGTATCATATAATAGTATGTATGGTTGCAGCGCAGATACAGGTTTACCTTGTGGTTGACAGCCTGTTCCATATTTTCCTTGTGTTTAACTGCTTGAGCAGAATAAAACTTCCTTAATTCATCAACAGCTTTTTCATTTTCCTTTAGAAAAACAAACAGGGCAAATTTAGATGAGATAAATTATCATGTAATAATCAGAGAATTCAATATTATAAGCGGTGTTATTATACAATGAAGCTGCAGATAATCCTGATCGCATTCTGCCATCTTTCCAGCATAGTCAAATAGTCACATGTACATGTACAGGCATAATTGCTAGTTCTGAAGCGCGGTCACATATATACACTGTACATGTACATGTGTAAAGGCTTTCCCATGTCAATAGCATTGCTGACTATGATGCAGAAAATATAAAAAAATACAAGGAAGTCAAGGAAGTGTCAAAATAATAATAATAATGAACATGGAGGCAAAGACAAAAGTTTTAGCAACACATGAAATCTCCATTCACTGTTCAGACTCATCATAATTGAATTTGGTTTTTTGGTGTTATCTGCTCAAGACAAATTACCTTGTCCCTGATTATTCCAGATATTGAGAAGAACCTCATCCAATAATTGTTTAAAATAGGAACATACTGTATCACATTACACTGTGCTTACTTTATACATCTTAATGACATTTCTCAAAGAATCATTTTCTTTTCTCAGTTCTTCCATTTCTTTGCTCATAGCTTCACTGAGTGACGACCTGTGGATCAAATTACCACTGAACAGGAGATAGAAACAAAGCACCTGTAAATAACATGTTACCTACTGAATATACATACTTATGTTAACTGCAAGTATTTCTATATGAGCCTTGGAAGTATTTTCATACCTTGGAGACAATGGAGGTGGACCATCCTAAGACAGGAAAGGGGAAAAA